ATATATATATGCATTTTATTGACTGTATTTTATGATAATGTATTTTAATTATGTTGTGCCCTGCCTTGAGCCATGAGGAGAGGCAGGTGAAAAAGAACATCTATTATTATTATTATTATTATTATTATTATTATTATTATTATTATTATTATCATCATCATCATCATCACCATCACCATCATCACAAGGACTTCTGAGACCAAGAGTATGTGACATGTCCAGAGTCATCCACTGTTACTACACCTTTGCTTTCCTCGTGCAGGAAAATTAAAATGCATGGAATTCACAAATCATTTAACAAGGGAACTGAAAATATAACTCCTTTTCACTTAATATATCTTCTGTTGGTTAAAACAAGCAAACAATCAAGTGATTTTTGTGGGGACTATAACCCACAGAATGTTCTGAGGGCTGTATTCCATAAAAGGAACTAGACTAAGCTCTGCCCCAAACCGATCTATTTCTAACTCTGATAGACAAGGAATGCCTCCCCTCACATTCCTTGGCAGTCTGTACTGCCTGTTCCCCACCAGTGACCACACGCAGCATTCACTGGAGAAATGTGAAAAACAGCCACTCTCTTCAGTTGACATTAGCTTGTCAATTACAATACAGTCTTGTGAACTGAAATCTAGACTACACCTTCGTGAAGCTGAGTAGTACTACATAAACTGTGCAAAGAGAGAATGTCTTTATAAGTTAGATACTTTTCACATGCTCTTTAGCTGCATATTTGTCCCAGTTGGTTCCCAACACCACAATCACCACCCCGATGATTTATATACATTAAATAATCAGAAGCAAAATAACCCAAAACCAGTAATAGTACAATTCAAATCTCATCCCAACCTCATAAAGTAGGTGCTAGTTTTGCCACAATGTCCCTAATTCTCAAATAATCATTCACCTTCTCCATTCCCATAGCATTTAAGTAAATCTGATTGTGCATATATGGAATAACTAGACGATGGAACGACTAGACAATGAGTCCGGACAATGTTTTTAACAAGGAGGCACTATGAATTTATATTTTATTGATTTGTTTAGTTTTTATTATATGTTACATTTTTAATTGTATTTATGACATTGTAAGCATTGAATTTTGCCCTGTTAACCGCCTTGAGTCACCTATGGGCTGAGAAAAGCAGTATACAAATACAGTAAATAAATAAATAATAAATAAATATATCTATACTATGTTATCAGCATATTCCACATTTATACAGCATGTTTTCAAGGTTATCCTTTAAAAATGGTTAATACAGTCACGAATAGACAAAACGCTCAAGCACGTACCACATATACAAACAAATCAAATTAGTAAATGAGACATACTTCACTAGTAAGTCATGAGGTCATTATATAGCGCAAGACTACTCTCCTTGTTAGTAACTCATGCTATAGTTGCATGGCAAGGTGCAAGTTTTACACTGAGTAACACCATGAAAGTAAAGCACATTGCTTAGAGGAAGCATGATAAGAAAGCAAAACAATTGCCTAGGGAGCTCTAGGAAACCAAAGAAACTCAAGTGTGAAAAAGGAAACAAAACTGAATCAAAACATCACAAACAAAACAATAGTCTTTGAAGTGTACATGGATATAATATTGATATGCCAAGTTCTCTGCTCATCCTATTCTTACCCCTTCTTACCCCTTAAATTGCCACTTCAAGGCTAGTACACTGCTACTGTTACAGCAGTTTTGTGTAACACCTACTGCAATAGCAGAACTTATCAGTGGTTTTAGTGGCCTGGCTACTATAATGTGAGGATTATAATGAGGGAATAAAATCATGTTAAAATGGCTTCCGTTTTTTATGAGTTGGGCCCAGGATTATTTATAGTATATAAAACCCCAAGACATATACTGATAAATGTTTATAGTTTGGAGGGGGACACTTTTGTTAAAATGTATACACTCTTAACAGAAATAAAGATGTAAATAGAGAATTATCACAAAATTTTGAGAAACTTTAACTGTGGTTTGCAATGTTATGCTTTTACAATGCAAGCTGTGCATTGCTGCACAGAGAGAACAATTTGAACAACTTACATTAAATTAATTTAACATTGAATTTATAACTTTAATTAAATCATTATTACTTAACCTTCAAATAATCAACCTAAGGCCCTTCCACACAGCCATATAATCCAGAATACCAAGTAGGAAATACAATATGGAATATATGGCAGTGTGGACTCAGATAACCCAGTTCAAAGAAGATATTGTGGGATTTTCCACCTTGATATTCTGGGTTATATGGCTGTGTGGAAGGGCCCCCAGTTACTATTAATTGTTAACGAGTATATCCATTTTGTGGGGGCACCTTGTATTTTGCATTGCAAATATGGATCTTTATTTGTTTACTAACCTTGCTTTGAACTTGGCATGTACATTGGTATTTTACATTTCATGCATTTAATAGTATGAGGCATATTTTGGGAGCAAAAGAAAATATGACTGGCAGATCGAAAAAAGCTGATGTCCTTAATGAGGAACAATATTTTTTGCTAAGATTTAAACCACAGAGCAGAAAGAATAGAAACAAGGGAAGCTAAAGTGTTATGACATTTTGGTTTCTCCATCTCCTCCCTTACTGTAAAATGTTCAAATTCAAATCTGAAATGCCAAAAAAGAAAGAAAGAGTGAAGTCTTATCATCAGTCACAGTTTTTGCCAGTGTCTTTGACTGCCAGACTTACACTTATTTACTCAAAATCTGAAAATCAGTAATGGTCTTCCTTTCGTCTGAGCAGCTAAATGTTAACACCAACTTGTGAGAAACCAAATCTTCGTTCTGAACTACCACCACTCCTCTCTGCAAAATGCTGATATATTTTGTCCCTCACATACCGTCTGTTCTAATACATGTCATATTTTAATCAGCTATAGAAGTGTATTCTAGAAAATCTGAAAAACTAATTGAAGAAGGTCTTTTTGAAAAAAATAAAACCCAGTATGGTCTAGAAGTTCAAAGACTGGATTACTATTCTGAAGACCAGAATTTGAATCACCACTTGACCATGAAATCCATCGGGTGAGTCTGGGCAAGTCATATTCTTGCAGCCTCAAAATAAGGCAAAGGCAAGCCTCATCTCAATAAATCATGCCACAAAAAAAAAAAAAACCCTGATAGGTTTGCTTTAGGATCATCATAATTTGATTTGAAAGCACATAACATGATTTGAAAGCACATAACAACTACAACTTTCCAAAGAATATTTGTTGTTTATTCATCCAATTGCTTCCAACAAATGCAAGAAACTCCACTTAGGCAGAAAAAATGAAATGCAAACATACAGAATGGGGGTTGCATGGCTCAAGAGCAGTACATGTGAAAAAGATCTTGAGGTCCTTGTGGACAACAAGTTAAACATGAGCCAACAATATGATGTGGCAGCAAAAAAAGCCAATAGTGTCTAGGTCCAGGGAAGTCATGCTACCCCTCTATTCGGCCTTGGTTAGACCATACCTGGGATATTGTGTCCAATTCTGGGCACCACAATTGAAGAGAGATATTGGCAAGCTGGAAAGTGTCCAGAGGAGGGCGACTAAAATGATCAATGGTCTGGAGAACAAGCCCTATGAGGAGCGGCTTAAAGATTTGGGCATGTTTAGCCTGAATAAGAGAAGGCTGAGAGGAGACATGATAGACATGTATAAATATGTGAGAGGAGGGAGCAAGCTTGTTTTCTGCTTCCCTGGAGACTAGGATGCAGAACAAAGAAAGGAGATTCCATCTGAACATTAGGAAGAACTTCCTAACTGTGAGAGCCGTTCAGAAGGTGGTGAAGGTTCCTTCTTTGGAAGCTTTTAAACAGAGGCTGGATGGCCATCTGTCAGGGGAACTTTGAACACAATATTCCTGCTTCTTGGCAGGTTGTTGGACTGGATGGCCCATGAGGTCTCTTCCAACTCTATGATTCTATGATTCTTTGTGACCTTATAGACCAGCCCAAATAATATAGTGAGCTTTAAATAATTGTGTTGACTGGGGCGGGGAAGTCTTCACATATATATAGAAACAGATTTGTTCAAAACATATGTGGAAAAAGAGTAGTGTGAGGAATAAAAAAGAAGGCATAAGCACACAGTAGTATTTGTGTTGATAACAACAGAAAATTCCAAATTAGCAGGTGATTGAGATTTTGTTGCACTTTCAGGACAAAACCATTTCAGACATTACAAAATTGCATTTTGTTCATCTGAAAGCTTTTAAATATTAAAAGTTCATTTGTTTATTTATTCATTTTGACTTGTTACTTTAAACCCCATCTTGATGTCAGAAGGTCAAGACAACATACATGGTTCTCATTCCCATTTTTATCTCCACAGAAACAATGTAAAATGGATTACCCTTACATTACGCTGTGAGCTTCATAGCTACATAAGCTGGATTTGAAACTGCTACTTCTCAGTACCATCTCTATCATGCTAGTAGCATTGTATGGCATAACTCTGCAAATTCAAATAACTCCACAGAACCTAAGCTTTTAAAAAAAATCATTATGGGACTCCAGATACCCTGGTCAAACACTCCATCCAATATTCATTATCCACAGCTAAGAGTGGAACAGGCCAAGCCGTGACATATGATAGTGCAACAGGAAGAGCTATGATTTTAAATAAAGATGAATATAAAGAGCCTTCAGACTAAATTATTTAGCAATCCATAATAGCCAGTGTAATCCCAAATAGTTTTCACTTCTTGTGCATCACATTACAGTTTTTGACCAATTCACTTCAAAGATGATCTGGAGGGCTGATATTATGAGCTGATATTTCTTATACTTTTTCTGTGCAAAAGTAATTTGCAAAATGCTACATTTGTTGCCTTTGTAAAATAGTGGTTTCATGAGGATTTCACTGGCCTTCTCTCTATGCTAGAGAATTAATAGTTTAGAATTATAACAGCAAACAAATTCCAACAACCCCCTAATCTCACCAGCTTCAATCTGTCTCTCTCGAAGGGAATAGAGTCCTGAGGTTTTCTCACCTACCTTGGGAAACATTTGCTCAGTTTCTCGCTGTTTACCCTCATGATGAATTGTTGGCTGGCAAGTAGCTGTAGACTGCAGTGAAGACACTGAGCCCTGTCACAAGAATGAGCAGGGAAGAACATCAGGTGATTACTATTTGTTCTTTAGCATACACACAAAATGTTCAAATGTATATATTTTTGTGAATTCTTTTTTTCTCAAATCAAAAAAAGGTTCCCAAGATGTAAATAAAGAAAATACAGAGAAAAACTATATAATGTGTTTGTATAAAAATGTATTTATAAATAATCAACTGCTTTGGCTTATCAGACTGTGCATGCGTATGTATTATAATAAAGTGAACCAGAATGATATGACCCATCTGACTAATCAAAGTATGTCTGCTTCTGTCACCAAAAGAGAACAAGTGAACAACAGGAACACAGTTGGTATCAAGATTTATGGGCACACAAACAGGCTGGCTGAAACAAACTTCCACACTTTATTATCACACAGAGAGAACTGAGCAAGCTTTTGAGTGTGATAAGGTGTTGAGCACATATCCCTCAAAATCAGCAAAGACACTATCCAGAAGTAGAAGCCCTTCATTCATAAAAGACTAGTCCTAATTTCAACCCTAAATTTAGGAAGAGATTTTACTTACTTTTTGGAAATAGAAGCTACTAATTTTATTATTTTATTCAAATCTGTAGACTATGTAGGCTTCAAACAAAAAACATGTTCAGTTTGTTAACCTTGAACATTGAATATCAGCAATGGCTTCATGAAGCTTAGGAAGACATCACACAAAGAACTAGAAGCAAAAGCGGTACAAATAATTCACAGATCCTCTGTTACTCTTTCTATGTTACACCAAAGAAATGAAGTAATATTAGAAAGTGTTTCTGCTATCTTGACAGCCACCTCTCCACAAATGTCAACACTGACACTGAAATACACCATCTGAGCTCTGCGAGTGCAGCATTTTTTCAAATTAACAAAGAATGTTTGAGGATCAGGACATCCGTAGGGATACTAAGGTGCTTGTTTATAAAGCTGTTGTCCTCTCAACCCTGTTATACACCTATGAAATGTGGACTGTCTACAGATGTCACACTCAACTCCTGGAATGATTCCATCAGCATTGTCTCTGAAAAATCCTGCAAATCTCTTAGGAAGACAGGTGGACAAATGTCAGCATGCTGGAAGAAGCAAAGACCACCAGCATTGAAGCGATGCTTCTATGCCATCAACTTTGCTGGGCTGGCCACGTTGTCCAAATGCCTGATCACTGTCTCCCAAAGCAGTTACTATACTTTGAATTCAAGAATGGAAAACAGAATGTTGGTGGACAGGAAAAGAGATTTAAAGATGGTCCTAAAGCTAACCTTTAAAACTGTGGCATACACACCAAGAACTGGGAAGCCCTGGTCCTTGAGTGCTCTAACTGGACATCACCTGTGACCAGCAGTGCTGTGGAATTCAAAGAGGCACGAATGGAGAAACATGCCAAGAGGAAGGTACATTAAGCCAACCCTGACCGGGACTGCCTTCCACCTGGAAACTGATGCCCTCACTGTGGAAGAACATGCGGATCAATAATAGGCTCCACAGTCACCTACGTATCCACCGTCAAGACACTACACTTGGAAGTTCATCATACTTGAACAACAAGGGATCACCTAAGTCAGTAAGTATCACCAAAGAAATGAGGTACATAAGCACTACTTGAGAAATTCCCTTCACACAACCACTGAGTTCCAATAGTGATTATATTCTGCGGTATATGTGAGACACGAATATTGCTAACCATATGCCCAAGACTGAATGGACAGGTATTTCTGCATATCTGTAAAATCATGACACGTACACAAACTTTATCATGATCTGGAAATAAACTACAAGCCAAACAGGACTGTAAAATGAATTAACATGTCAAAGTAGACTTGACATTCAAAAATAATAATCACAGACTTCTTTTCCTTCCAGTTGAAGTATAATGCCATCATGTTGATACTCCTCAAGTTGTAGAAAGGAATCAGCAGATTTTCAAAACAGTATTCTTTGAATGCTGACAGAAAAGACAGTTCACTCAAAATGACATGGTGAATTTAGGTTTCCTGTTACAACAAATCTTAACTTGTATCTTGGCTCTCGATTCATGTACAAACATCTTTGTTAACAGCAGGTTGTTTAAAGCAAAGCCAGCTGAACAAAGAGAAGGCCGCATATTACTCTTCATGAATTTGTGCCACATGCTGGTCATCTATTTTATTCTTACTCTGTAAACAATAAACGTCTCTCAGAAGTAATCTTTATTCCAACCACACTATAAATATACTAACAGAATAAAATAAATTAATCCCAAAGCCTATGCACTTAGCAACAACCTAGGAATGTTTTGAACTTCAACTGAATTACAAAAACACAATATCTGATAAACATGAAAATTAAAAATTATTTCAATTAAGGTATAAAATGTCCATGATGCAAATGAAGGTTTAAGTGACTGATGCAGAAAAAAGAGAAAAATGTTCTAGGATGTCTGAAAGGTAAAGTGCAAAATTGGAAAAATAGGGGCTGAAAGGAAAAGAGTGGCATCAAAGATTCCTGACCTTGTATGTTGAATAACATTTTGGACAGTGAGAAAAATATGAGAAGTTTTTAATCAGAAATAAGATTTTATGATTTCTGGCTCCAAACAGGGAATATACCATAATAAGCTATTTAGTTTGTATTACAGTTCTAGAGATAGGTTTGGGCTTAGACAGAATGGGATGGTCAGAGACAAGAAGTCAGATTTGGGTGTACAGTAGGCCCTCCATATTTGTGAGTTTAACTTTTGCAGATTTGATTAATGTGATTAATATGACCCATATTAATGCAAACATGGCTTTTTTGTTTCTCTTAGGATTTCTTTGGTGACTGGTTTTTGCACTAAGCAGTCAAAGTGTGCCAGCACTGGAGTGAGTGATATTATCGGGTGTTAGCCACAGCACTCTGATACATCCTTGAGAACTAGCACATCATTAGTGATACTTTCACAACTAAATGTTCAGGCCTTAGATCATAAACAAAGCCAAGAATCTCACTTCTACTTAAATATTGTTCAGATGGCCTTCTGGAGATCTAAATTCAAACCTATAGATAATGTCACCCTTCCACAGTGCCTGTATGTATGTGTACATACATACCTGTGCCTGTGCCTGTATGTATGTGTACATGCATATATATGCATACATACATACACATCTGAACAACTGAGATGATTTCACCAATTAACAATTGCTTTTCACTGAAGCAAATGGCAGGATCAGGTGAAATACAACCATTCATGTTTTAGACGTGTAGTATATTTATCTTCATTAACAGGTCCATAGAGCTCACAAATTTATCATTTAAGTAGCATTAATGGATGAAATCTGACAAAATCAGAGGTTTTCAGACTGTATAATTTTGTTGTTTCAATTCATCTCTCTCTCTCTCTCTCTCTCCCCCCCCCCCCAAATTATTGTGGTTAGTATGTATGTACTCCTTCTCTAATTCATAAGTGTGCGGCCAATATAGGAATATGAAGAAATTATAGGAATATGAAGAAATCCTAACTCTGAGTTTGTATTTTTGTATCTCCTTTTTATATGACAGTTGGGTCACTCAGTATCCACTACAGCTTTTGATTCCAACTCTCCTCGGACCCAGGTAATACTGCTGGTGGTCAGGGATAATAAAGGTTGTAGTCTAAAACATTCAAATGACACCAGGTTGACTATGCCCTTTCTACATACCTACTTTAGTTCTGCCTGTAAAATTATGAAACAAGTGATATATTTTCAAAAGTTGGCAATGTCAGGATTTAATACATTTCAGGAAGACAATTCACCCAATTAATTATTAGAATAAAAAGAAAAAATCAAATTCAAATACCTGAACATATAGAGATGGACTCAATGAAAGTTTTGCTTCTGATTAGCAATTTCTCAAATGCATGTTTTATCAATTTTTCTGTGCTCACTATTCACTCTTTTAGAACTTGAATCTAAAATGAACTTTTTATTGAATACCAATCAGCATTTGACTATTTTAAAGTATAAAAGGGAAGCTTTTTGTACTTAATCAATTTCATTTTCTTCTCACATATCTGTGAGACTCAATCTCCCAATCCATTCAGGTGCACAGTAATAAGGATTCAGACAAGATATATTTGTCTTAGACCAGGCAAACGGGGGCCCATGAAGGTTACCTCTGACTGCGGCACGATGAAAGACTAGAGAGGCCTCCTAACTGTTTGGTGACATCTTCACTAATCCCTCTCTGTTTGGAAACAATTATAGAAATCGCTCTAAATCGCTTAAGTTTCCACAGCAAGTTCTAAAAAAGGTTTCAGGTTCAGTAAAGTGTTTTGCCACAATTCTGTTCTATTGGATTGAGGTCACTCAAGATCAGTTGAGTAATTTGGCAAGAGAATTCACTTCTGAAAATATTTCACATGGAAGTATGATATGTGAACTGAGCTACCTCAGATGGATTTTTATGGGGTTACACAAATTTGTGAGGGATGAATTTATCAAACAGAAATTGCTTGTAACAGCAACTATGGGATCTTGATTTTCAGAAGTTGTATACCTCCAAGCATCAGAGGCAGAAAGGAAACAAATCTAACAACATCTTTAGACTCTGTTTGTGAGTTTCTAAAATCAGCCATCGGTCAGAGGAAAAAAGCAGAAATAACTTGTGCTTGTTCTGATTTAGCAGCACATTTTTATGTGACTAGCTCATGGCCCACTGCATTTCACCAACCAAAGAGAGGTGCATCATCCGAAAACAGAGTATACACCATGTTAAATATGTTACAGGTTTCCTCCCAGACTGTTCAATACACATACACAATTTTTCAAAACCAAAAGTAAAACGGTGTGTGTAAATTTTATCAGCAGTCTGTGTGATTCCTCCAAAATGCTGCAGAGGCTGAATTTGGTCCCCCTGATCCACCACAGCCACTCACTCCTGGTTAAAAGAATGCATTCCCTAATAAACAATCTGAGTGGAAAACTGAACCCTTTAGTCAGTTTCAGCAACCTAACAACTTGCCGGAGTTCACTGCTAGGAAAAGTGATATGATCATTACATTGACGCGTGAAAAAGCCAGCCAGCTCTGGTTCTTTTTTTCAGGGCACAGCTGGGGAACTATACTCACTGAGGTACAGAAGAGCAAAGGGGACGGGAATGATCTTGGGGGAAGCCTGGAACATCCCAACCTATCCAAGAGTTCCTTCCCTATTTTCCTTAAGAAGTCCTTGTGTTGTTGTTCATTTGTTCAGTTGCTTCCAAATCTTTGGAAGTGACTGACCTCATGGACCAGCCCACACCAGAGCTCCCTGTCAGCCGTCGTCACTCACAGCTTCTTCAAGGTCAAGCCAGTCACTTCAAGGATAAAATCCATCCATTTTGCCCTTGGTCGGCCCCTCTTCCTTTTTCCTTCAATTTTTTCCCAGCATCATTATCTTCTCCAAGCTTTCCTGTCTTCTCATTATGTGGCCAAAGTACTTCATCTTTGCCTTTAATGTCCTTCCCTCCAGTGAGCAGTTGGACATTATTTCCTGGAGGATGGACTGGTTTGATCTTCTCGTGGTCCAAGATACTCTCAGAATTTTCCTCCAACACCACAGTTCAAAAGCATCTATCTTCCTTATGGTCCAGCTCTTGCATCCATAGGTTACTACAGAGAATACCGTTGCTTTAACTATGTGGATTTTCGTTGTCAGTGTGTTGTCTCTACTCTTCACTACTTTATCAAGATTGGTCATTGCTCTCCTCCCAAGAAGTGAACATCTTTGGATTTCCTGGCTGCAGTCTGCGTCTGCAGTAATCTTCGTGCCTAGAAATACAAAGTCTGTCAGTGCCTCCACGTTTTCTCCCTCTATTTGCCAGTTATCACTCAGTCTGGTTCCCATAAACTTTGTTTTGTTTTTGTTTTATGTTTAACTGCAACCCAGCTTTTGTACTTTCTTCTCTCACCTTGGTTGTAAAGCTCCATGTTATTTAAAGAATGGCCTTCTTCTTGCCAAAATGGATACTGAATCAGTTTGTTAACACCTGAAGCCATGGGCGTTAGACGTGGATTTTAAAACAGAACTAAGATTTCAAATGATGAAATGTTGTTTCCTCATTCAGTTTTACATGTATAAGAAATATAAAGACCTCTTTAGAGTGTCACATAAAAGGAGTCTGTCTGCCTGAGCAATTTCCTACTACCTCACATTTGTACTGACTTGAGAAGCAGAAGAAAAGCAACCACATAACGTATTTCTAACTATAATAATAATCCCACAAATTAAAACAGGGAATAAATAGGGGGGAAACCAAAGCCTTATTTGCCTACTTTTTTCAGTCTTTTGCTGTTTGTAGAGCCATTTGCTTGCTGTTGTGGGAGAATTCTTGCTGGTGTTGAGAGAAACATAGACTTTGCAGCAAACACTGAATAATAAAGACACAAAGAACTGAAGCTTTCACAAATTGTGGGTATATATGAACAGAAAAAGATATGTTAGCTGTAGAATCTTTGCTGCACCAAATTCATCATTTCCCAAAGCCATTGCTTCTTCACAGCACCTAAAAGGGGTATTTCGAAAAGAAAGTTCACAGCACAAGGCAAGTGCTTAACTCTTTCCCCTTCCCTGCAACTCATTTCCCCCTCCAACCAACTATGGCTTTAAAATGGATTTCCAATCAGTAAGAACAATTGTTGAGAGGTAAAGCTGCCTGTCCAAGGACTTGTTCAATAGACGTGTGTGCAAGGTGGTATTACAATGAGTTGAATGAACCTGCTTCTGGATTTATTTATGATGATATCATGTTAGAGTTCTAAAGTGCAGGCCTCAGTTTTCTAATCTCTCGGTTTGCTCCTGCAGAATTCTGGGAAATATAGTTTAGGGCAGAACCTCTGGAAATCTCAACCAGAGAGGCCCTCGGCTTCCCTAAACTACATTTCCCAGAAGTCTACAGGATCAAATCAGGTGATAAAGATATGTGGGCCTGTCTTTTAGAAATCTAATGTGATATTGTCCATAGTCTCGTTAATATTTTCTATAGAAAGAGGCCCAATTAGTATATGCAAATACTCAACTTTTTGCTTTTATATCCGGAAGCTTTTCTTTGATATTGGAACCATGAAAGCCTTCCTGGGCAAGTTTCCAAAAGTCTTCATAATCTTGCTGGTTCTTTATGATTCTGAGTTTAGTTAATTCATTCTGCAACCCAATGATCTCAAAAGAGAGAAAAAAGTTGGAGGAAAAGATGAGAGAGAGGATGTAGACATTTCATTATTGGTTATTGACATCAAAAGCAAATTGAATATTTTTAATTAACAATGACCTGTAAATTCTTTCTTTCACTTTGCAAAATATTTTTTTCATCCTTTCTGACATCCTTACTTCATTTGCAGCAACAAAAAATAAAAAAGTTAGTGTATGCAAGCCTTCTGCTAGAAGCTTACAAAACTCTCCCCTGGAAATGGCAAGATTTCTATTACAGCTGTCATCATATGTCTTCAAAAAAATCCCCAGCAGATCCATGATAGTTTTTAACATGTACAGCCACAGAGGGAAACAGACCTTTCATATCTTCCATATCAATTTTTATCAAAGGGGAAAAGTCAGTAATGATACAATGACATAAATGTATTGTATCAGACATTGTTTGAACTGAAAGTACTAATTTTTATTGGTTATGCTTTCCTTTCACATATCTAAAAATGAAAAATTGGCATATTTTCTGTTTGTCGTGGTAGTTCTGTGTGCCATATTTGGTTAAGTTCCATCATTGGTGGAGTTCAGAATGCTCTTTGATTGTAGGTGAACTATATATCCCAGTAACTACAACTCGCATATGTCAAGGTCTATTTCCCCCCCAAGAGCGCCTCAAGAGCGCATCTTGGCAAAACCAGCTATACTGCAAATACTTACTTTGCGTAATGGGTTGAGCCACCCCTGAGTATAGATTTTAGTCCTTGCAGTGCTTTGTAACTAAGGGCACTCCCAAGCAGTTAAGAATGATCATATGTAAGCATGCTCTTTTCTTGGTTATTGATCCTTCTGGCATATATTCCAAGACGCTTTCTACCACACAAGGGTGGCACTGAAGGGTGCAAAATCAACCACTAAGGCAAGAAGTAAGTTTATAGACTCTATCCATCGCCACTGTGAGAATTCTCGTTTATTTATTTATCATGTCAGAAGTGAACCTAGGGTACAGTTGTAATGTATTTAAACAAAGTTTTAAAAATTGGCATTATATTAAATGTCCTTTGACCAGTAGCTAGCCACTTGGAGTGCCTTTAGTGTTGCTATAAGAAGGTCCTCCATTGTGCATGTGGCAGGGCTCAGACTGCATTGCAATAGGTGGTATGTGGTTTGTTTGAGTTCTGGTGTCCTAAAAGGATGTAAAGGGGCAACCATTTTCCCTGGGATACTTTCTAGTATCATAGCATTTCCTAAAATGAACAGAGATTGACATCTTACCAAATAACTGCGCGACTGTGGGATGGACTCCAGGTATTTTGTATCATGAGACAATTTGCAGAAGGGCATTTTATGACCAGGACGATGCTTTTAACAAAAAAAAGATAAAATTGTGTTCAGTATTTCTCCCCTCCAAAAGCTGGGAAACAAAGCTCAAAACAAATGACATGTAAACATTCAACCACAGGAAGCCATTAACAACACTGGACACCAATTAGGACCCAGCGGGTATTCCTAACACCGCCTGGTGCTTTTGCTCCACCCCAAAGGCTTTGACAGAAGACTCACAAACGTAGCCTTAGGGAGCAGGCTGTTTCATTTACTCAGCAATTTGTAGCCACATATTCCTGCTGAAAGGCTTATAAACTTGTTTGTAGTTTTTTCCCTAGTCACAAGAGAAAATACTTTTGAGGAAAGAAGAAATAAACCTGTGGCAATCCCTCTGTCTTTTTCATTTTCTTCTATGCATGGCAGGGAGATGTACCAAAGAATTCAGAGCAATCTCTTATAAACTTTAAAATATTTCTCCTGTTTATAGAGCTTACTTTGAAATTGACTTTATTGAAAAATCATTTCAAAAGAACATAGGGAAAAGACTTAGGCCCCTTCTACACAATTGAATAAAATCCCACATTTTCTGCTTTGAACTGGAATATATGGCAGTGTGGACTCAGATAAACCAATTCAAACCAGATATTTTGGGATATAATAATATTCTGGGTTATATGGCTGTGTGGAAGGACCCTTAGAGCAGAGATAGGAAATAACTGAGTAAACCTTTTTGAATTAGCAATTTTTATTTAGCAAAAACTGACAATAGTTTATTTTTAACTGGACTGACTCAAGTTAGAATTTCAGTATAAATGTTTCTCTTGAATTATATTATTAGTTATTAATTAAATGACCATCAGAAGAAAAAGCATACAAATTTTACTTTATTCAGTTGATTACTATTCCAAATTCAGTTCTCCTTAATTTTTGCTTTCTTAAGTTTCTTGGACTTGCGAAAGCATTATATTTAGGTTTTAAGTCTCAAATAACCTACTCAAGAATATTAATTTCAATAAAATTCTTTGGATATCAGCTTACGGAGTAACTTATCCTCTCCTATTTACATATTTCTAAAAAGGATTTGAGATTCATATTGCTGACATTGAACAATTAGACAATCCGGAGGATTTCTGGAAAGACAAACGTAACAAGATGGCATAATAAGGGAGAATGGGAGATGGGGTTAAATCCTTTTCATTATTTTCAATTCATTCCAGTAAGGCTTTATTGTATCCATTTAACCTAAATGTAAATAGTATTGTATCATGATCTTAATATAGTGTTGAACTGTGATTTCTTTGAACTATGACTTCTTTGGCTGGTGCCCTGTAGGATCCCTCAGGGTTTCATTCTGTCACCCATGCTTCAACATCTACATGAAACTGCTGGGAGAGATCATATGGAGTTTTGGAGTTCAGTGTCACATTTATGCAGATGATACCCAACTGTATTACTCCTTTCCACCAAATGCCAAGGATGCCTCTCTGGTCCTGAACTGGTGTCTGTCAACAGTAATGGACTTGATGAGAGCGAATAGATTGAAATTAAATCCAGACAAGACAGAGGTACTCCTGGTCAATCATGCTGGACAGGGTTATACTCCCCCTGAAAGTTCAGGTACGCAGCTTGGGGATGATCCTGGACTCATCCCTGACCCTGGAGCCTCAGATGTCAGTGTTGACTAAGAGTGCTTTTGCACAATTAAAACTTGTGTGCTAGCTGCGCTCATACCTTGAAACGCCTGCTCTAGCCATGGTAGTGCATGCTTTAGTTACATCTCATCTGGACTATGACAATACACTCTATGTGGGGCTGCCTTTAAAGAATGCTCAGAAGCTTCAGCTGGTCCAGAGATCTCCAGCCAGGTTACTAACTGGAGCACCATACGGGGAGCGAACAACTCCCATGCTACGGCAGCTCCACTGGCTTCCAGTTTGCTACCAGGTGAAATTTAAAGTGCTGGTTGTTACCTTTAAAGCCCTAAATGGTTTGGGTCCAGACTACTTGATCACCCATCTCTCCTCATATGAACCTGCCCTGACACTGCATTCATCAAATGAGGCCCTCCTCTCGGTCTTGCCCTTGTCCCAAACCTGGTTGGTGGGGACAAGAGAGAGGGCCTTTTCTCTCCCCTCCCCCCCCCCCCCCCCCACCACCACCTTTGGAACTCTCTCCTGAAAGAGATTAAAATACCCCCATGCTCTCCTCTTACTTAGGCTTCCAGGCTTATGGAGACAATTGAATATCCGGCTGCCACAGAATGAATGGACAGGACCTTACTGACAGTTATGGTTTTAATCTACCGATTGGTCTCCTTTTGATCTCCTTTTAATCATTGTTGTCCTGTGTGTTTTTTAAAATTTATTTTCATGTTTAGTTAAGATAAATTGACATCTTAATTATCTGCATTTAATTTATTTTGTATTTGTATTTTCACTGTGTATTGTATGGCATTGAATGGCTGCCATTTTTGTTGTAAGTTGCCCTGAGTCCCCATGGGGAGATAGGTAAAATTGACTTGACTTGACTTGATCTATAGTTAATAAAAATAAGCAAATATCAGTGGAGAAAGGCTTTATATCCTGGTTTGTTTTTCCTAAACATTTTAAGCTAACTAAAGATAGCCACATTCAGCCATCACAGGAAACTGGCTAGTTGATAATGGAATATTATGACACACAAAAGAAGGTAAGGGAAGCATGTAAGTTAGTATTCTCTAATGTGGATGGCATATGTGAGCCAACGTATTTTCCATTACCTTATTATTATTATTATTATTATTATTATTATTATTATTATTTTACTGACACAAAAACACAGTATGAAACAGAAAACGAGATATATATGCTGGATTTTGTAACACAAAATCACAAATTGAACACTTCCCAAGCATTTAGGACTCTGTGATATATTTTTGAATGATGCACGCAGATCCAGGTAAGGTGGCCTTTTGCAGTTGACAGATCATGATTTTGTCAATGAGATCTTTTGGCAGGGCACCCAGTGTGCTGATGACCACTGGGACCACCTGTACTGGTTTATGCCAGAGCCTTTGCAGTTCGATTTTGAGGTCTTGATAATGGCTGAGTTTTTCCTGGTTTTTTTTTTGTCACCTGGTATGGCAATATCAATAATCCAAACTTTTTTATTTATAATAATTTGTTGTTGTTGTTGTTACTATTATTATTATTCCTGTCACAATACTTTTTAAAATATGAATTTGATTAATGCTATTAAACATATCAAAGTGAGCAAGCACTTCATTTATATGACATTGGATTGGAATTTGAGCATTAATTTGTTGATATTAGATAAGCAAGGAATGGAATAAAAATTCTAATCCAGTTCCTTTAGAATCAAACTGCTGTGAAAAGTAAAACGATTTCTTCATATACAGAGGTTGTAAAGAATTTATGAAACATAAAACAAGCCCTTATTGGGGTGGGAGGGACAACAGCTTTTTATTGCTGCTTCCCTGTTTTAACTTTCTCCACACTTTCCCCGACTTTATAGTACCCATAAAGTTACTGAAATTCAAATGGTATTGAGAAGAGCATTTGCCCGCATTTCCTTTTCATTTCATCTTGGCCTAGCTCTGCTTTATTGTCATAGCTGATGTTGTCTTTCTACAATGGAGAGAGACAGACGACACATAAAGATTTTGAAAAGGTTAAACAGTGTTTAAGAAAGAGAGTGTGGGAAGTTGTAGACTGAGATTTTCGTCTTCTCCTTAGATCATGTACTCTTACACTATGCAATTAACACCAAGTTAATGTACTTAATAGGAGCCCCCAGTGCCAAAATGGGTTAAACGCTTGTACTTGCAGGACTGAAGACTGACAGGTCAGAGGTTCGAATCTGGGGAGAGCATGGATGAGCTCCCTCTGTCAGCTCCAGCTCCCCATGTGGGGACATGAGAGAAGCCTCCCACAAGGATGGAAAAGTATCAAAACATCTGGGTGTCCCCTGCCGTCCTTGCAGACAGCAAATTCTCTCACACCAGAAGCAACTTGCAGTTCCTCAAGTTGCTCCTGACACACAAAAAATGTACTTAATATATAGGGTTGATGTAGTAATATTAGCGACTGACCATATGTTAAATAGACAGACTTGGTTCTGAGGAGATTTGACAGATTGAGGCATATACCAGTTAAAAGTGAACTAAGAAAGGTTTATTGGACTTTAAACCAACATCAACTCATATAATGAGCGGTACAGAAGCGTAATTCAGTTGTAGAGACTTAATTACTTAAGCAAGTAGTTCCACTGACAGTAAAGCATCTATCAACTGTGAGATCCCTTAAACACACTGCTCTATCTTTAGAAACAGTATCACTGGAGAACAGACCCCTATCTGTCTCACACACTGGGCAATAAGCTCCCTTATACTATCCCTAAGTATAAGGGGACAAGTCTTTCTGTTACTGATCCTCTCAATACAGTAACCCTAGCCCTTGTCTGCTTCGTATTCCCTATCCTAAGGCTCACTTTAAAGCTTTCTTTCCCTGTCAGAACTCTATTTAGCTTCCTCTCCTAAAAATCTCATCCTTCTGTGTCTCATGTCAAGACACTTCTCCCTCTCTGTCAAAAGCTGACAGCTTATTTCCCTCTCTCAACCGACTCCTCCCCAATTGCTATACCCAATCAGGAGTCGGCTTGACTCCTCCTCCTGCTGCTGCCTGTCTTCCAAGATGACAGCTACTGATATTCAGGCTTCGGCCTGTTCGCCTAAAAGGTAGATTTCACTACATCTGATATCTAAGAAACAATAGTTATCTGAACAATCCCTGAAATCATTTCCCAGTCACATTCACCAAATCTACATTGTCTCATAAATGTCCACTAAGATCTGACCACTGAAGTAACAAAAGTGCTTTCCAATTTGCATCCTTAAAGGAAGGGTAGAAAGCTCTCTCTAAAAAGAAGATAGCTCTGCTGGTGGTAGTTGTCATCATGTTTATTTTACTAAATAAATTATGCATGCTGTTGTAGGAACTGATGTATATTCAAAGAGAACTGCAAGGTTGCCATTACAA